CTTAGAACGTGGAGGTTCAGATCCAGGTGACAGAGGCAGTCTGTTCCAAAGTCTAAGTTACTTGAAGGTGCAGATTTGTCTGGTGTCCAGTGCTGAGGTGAACTGGGAGGCAAACTGTTAGTTTAGTTCTAAAACTTGAGAAACTCCAAAGAAATTGGAGTTTAGGGTCCAGTTAGGGGAATTGCTATAGCAGAAAATATGACCAGCAGCTAGGCAATGCCGTCTCCTTTCTACCGAGACTCCCTGAGTAGATTCCCTCACCTCAGGGCCTAACGCTATGTTTCCATTAGAGTGTTCAAAATTTAGTGCCTTTGAGATAATCTAATAATCTCTAATAATTTTTTTAAATGAAAAATTTAGTGTCCAGAGGCAATTAACTTGCCAGTGACAGAGGTGGCACTTTATCAGAGTGCTTGTTCCTGTTTCTCAGGGTTGAATGGGGAAGGGGAGATGAGGGTGAAACAAGTGAGGAGAGCAGTTCTGGAGGAAAAGAATCACTTAGGAAAAATATAGAGCCCGAGGTGGTGGTGCCCTAGCCTACAAAACTGGTAGAGAACCAAGTCCCAGCTTGGAGAGGACCAGGAAGCAGCATCTGAAAGTGCAACTGGGCTCTCAGAACCAGGTAAGCATTCTGGAGTCAAGGTATGTAAATTATTTTCATAAATATCAAGGCAAAGATGTAAAAATGAAGAAGGCAATCGGAAACCAGGAGTGTAAATCCTCAGAGTCCAGAGAAGGGGGAGAGATCAGGTATGAAGCAAAGTCTTAAAAACAAGGAACAGTGGGAAATGATGTTCAAAAAGTATATGAACTAGATTTCTCCAGAAAAATAGAGTCAGGAGAGACTGAGACAGAGACAAAAGAAGGGAAAAGGAGGAGGGAAAGAGAGGAAGGGGAGACGTTTGTATCTAGGAACTGGCTTCTGTAATTGTGGGGGGTGGCAGGTCAAAAATTCATAGCAAAGGGCGGGCAGGCAGGCGGGCTGGAAACTGGAGGCAGAATTTCTTCTCTGGTAAACCTGTTTTTGCTCTTAAGGCCTTCTACTGACTGGATGAGGCCTACTCACATTATCAAAGATAATCTTCCTTTTAAAAAAGTGAACCAATTATATAGTAGTTGTAACCACCTGTATAAAATATCATCACAGGAACTCCCTAGCTCATATTTGATTAAAGAACTGGGTGCTGTAGCCTAGCCAAGCTGATACATGAAACTAACCACCACAGAGGGAAAGGATGGGAGCAGCTCTGGGAACCAGAGTTAAAGCAGAGTAGGTAGAGTGTCCTAAGGCAAACTGGCAATCAGAAACCCATAAAAATTGAAGTCGCGTAACAAACGCCTGTTTGTTAACAAACAGATTCCAGGGATTCTCTGATTTTTTTTTTTTTTTTGCAGTTTTTGGCCAGGGCTGGGTTTGAACCTGCCACCTCTCACATATGGGGCTGGTGCCCTAGTCCTTTGAGCCACAGGCACTGCCCACTAACTTCTTTTTCTGACTGAAACCTGGCTTTCATTTTTCACAATTTATTTTATTTCTCTGACTTTGAGACAAATTGTGATGTAGGCTTGATCTTTGTTTCTATAAAATCAGTTGTGCTATGACAACAAACCGCTCTGAAGCAGAGACCTGATGGTATCTCCCTTCTGGGATATCAGTAACCAGTGGAATCCTGTGGAATAACTGAGCCCCTCAGGTGTGTCTTCTGACTTTAGCTGTAACATTTGGCAAGTCTGATTAGAACACTCAAGGAATGTTCACATTTCCTTAAAGAATTCGAAAGTAAGTAATTAGACTGACCTATGTTATATACAAAATCACAGAAAAAGGCCAGGCGAGGTGGCTCATGCCTGTAATCCTAGCACTTGGGAGGCTGAAGCGAGTGGATTGCCTGATCTCCTTGGTTAGAGACCAGCTTGAGCCAGAGCAAGACCTCGTCTCTAAAAATAACAGGGTGTTGGGTGGTACCTGTGGCTCAGTGAGTAGGGCACTGGCCTTATATACAGAGGGTGGTGGGTTCAAACCCATCCCCGGCCAAAAAAAACGGGCATTGTGTCAGGCACCTGTACTCCCAGCTACTCGGGAGGCTGAGGCAAGAGAATCCCCTAAGCCCAGGAGTTGGAGGTTGCTGTGAGCTGTGATGTCATAGCACTCTACCGAGGGTGACAAAGTGAGACTGTCTCTAAAAAAAAAAAAATAACAGGGTGTTGTGGTGAGCTCCTATAGTCCTGGCTACTTGGGAGGCTGAGGCAAGAGAATGGCTTGAGCCAAAGAGTTAGAGGTTGCTGTGAACTATGACCCTACAGCACTCTACCAAGCGTGACAAAGTAGGACTCTTGTTTCAAAAACAAACAAAAAAATCACCTGGAGGGATATTTAAAAAATATTGCTGCCTTAGGCCAAACTGTAGAAGATAATTCAAATGAAATGGAGTCCATGCTTAAGAATTTAAAAAATTAAATTAAAACAAAACCAAAAATAGTGCTTCTAAATTCACCCAATGCAGAGAATTGTGTGCTAAAAATGTTTTTATTTTTGATTTTAAAAGACCTGAACGTCCATGCAGTTCCGAGAAAGAGTCTGTAAGCCCCTGGATTTGATGCTTTCTACAGCGTCTTTAGTTCTAGAACTAATTCCCTCTGAATCAGCTACTAATGCCTGTGCTTCCACGGGGTAGGCCTGGGGTAGGAATTGATGAAGTGGGCAGTATGCTGGGCCAAACAGTGGTTGAAAAGCCTAGGACAAATCCTCAAAGACATAAAACCAAACATGGTTCCCATGTGGCAGATTTTTTCTTAAGAGAGTAGACTTCAGTAACAGAAAAAGGGATTTAGACATGATTTTCAGAAATATTCTGAACCTTCAGGAATCACTGTATAGTAGAATAGATTCTTTTCATGTTTTCTTCCACTGTTTTTAGAGATGGAGGAATTTAGAGTAGTGCTTTTCTAAAAGATGTACCATAGCCTACAGAATTTTTATATTCTTTATATTAGAGATGCGTTCTCAAGCTTTCTTTGATCAAGGAAATTATTTTAGGACTGATGTTCCATAGAACCACACTTGAGAATCACCGGCTTAGGGTCACTGAAGCTGGAAGAAATTAGTGCCCACCATTTGCTGTGAATCTCTTTGGTCACACTGTTATGAATTTAGTTTCTTTCATCATAATCCCATGACCCCTTCTCAACATGGAGTATATATATTAGAACATCTGTATGTGTATATAAATAAGAAAAAAATAAACATGGCTTAAATTGTGAACACTGTAACATGTAAGCTATAATCACCAAATTTTAAGTACTCAACCTCACTAAAAACAGGTATATATAATTTAAAAATAATAATTACCACATAATTAAGTACTGTATATTGGCTCAGTAATTTCAGAATTCCTAAAAATGTGTCCAAGCACTTTTTCTTTCTTCCCTTTTTTGAGGCAAAGTCTCCCTTTGTCACCCAACCAGACAGCAGTGATGTCATAACTCACAGCAATCTCAAAGTCCTGGTCTTAAGGGATCCTCCTACCTCAGCCCCTACAGTGGTGGAACTATAGGCACATGCCACTGCACATGGCTAATTTTTCTATTTTTTTTTTTTTTTGAGACAGAGCCTCAAGCTGTCCCCCTGGGTAGAGTGCCGTTGCATCACAGCTCACAGCAACCTCCAACTCCTGGGCT